ACGGATCGATCGGATCACACCGACGGAGGCGGGGACCACTCAGTGCATGGCGAGGGAACCCAGGCACTGGCCACGGTCGAACTCCCCTCGGACCCCAATCATATCCAGACTCCTCACAGACAGCAGCCCCCCTCCCCCAGCGGGGCAGATCAGGATCCAGCGCCAGTTGTGACCATGATGCCCCCAGCAGCGGCACACAGCGATCCTGAACCAGCACAGATGCTCTGCTCCTCGGGATGCGATGGCAATCCAGAAAGGGACGAGACGAGGCGACAGACCCCCAGGGATGCTCTCGACTCACCCCAGACGATGCCTACTGAGGGAAGAGGTGGCGGACCCGAAGGGGACGACAGATAAGGGAGCTGATCGTGCAGGTCGGGGGGGGGGGTAGGGGCCAGACTCCGGCCATCCCCACCCCAGACCCCATCATGACCCCTGTCCCCCTCGCGCCACCCCCCTCCCCCCTTCGCGGGGCCGCCCAGGAGCCTCTGCGACCGACAGTAGGGACAATGGAACTCTCAGCGACGGTCAGCTGCGATCCTGTGGGACCCCGAGGAGCAGCAGATGCTATGGACCCCAGGGCGGGCCACGAGGAGGAACCGCAGCACGCGCCTGGCGCGGACGGCATCCGCCCCCTCGAGGAGCAAATGCCCATATCACCCCAGACCGTGGCTAGCCACACCCCCGAGGTACACGCTCGCGACGGAGATGGAGACACTAACCGACAAATAGAGATCACAGCGGCGATCAGCTGCGACCCCCGAGGAAATAAAGAGACAACATAGCGGCGATCAGCTGCGACCCCCGAGGAAATAAAAGAGATAATCTAGCGGCGATCAGCTGCGACCCCCGAGGAACTACAACTCCGGACCAGTCCGAGCAACCCATTGGAGGAGACGCTTCGAGGGGTCTCGAGGCCTACGAGAGCGTGCGCACCAGGACCGCGGTCGGACAGAGCCGCGACAGCTCTGGGGAGACTCTCTCCGCCCGCCCCCCTCTTCCAGCATGCTCCTCCTTTGACTCGGTTCCCTTCCCCCCCCCGGCAAGTGCGGACACGGTGCGCGCTCCCAGCGAAGCCTGCGCCGCCTCGCGGTCGCACGGGCTGGCGAAAAGAGAAAAGGTGCACCAGCTGGGAGCCGTATGGCCCAGCGCAGTGCGCACAGGCCGAGAACCCCAACAGGAGCGGCACAAGCTAGCCGACAGCACAGCGGCACCAGCCGCTGCCAGCTAACCTTTAGCCCCCATTGACGGACCTCGAAAGTGACAGAGTCCGCGGCCAGGCGGCGGACGGCAGAGAGGCGCCAGACGCGCCGAGGAAAAGGTGCACCAGCTGGGAGCCGCATGGCCCAGCACAGTGCGCACAGAGACAGAGTCCGCGGCCAGGCGGCGGACGGCAGAGAGCGCCAGACGCGCTGAGGAAAAGGTGCACATGCTGGGAGCCGTATGGCCCAGCATGCGCACAGGCAGAGACAGTGCAAGGGTGCAGAGGAGGCCCTCACAGCGGATGCACCCGCTACGACATGGCGGACAAGACATGGCGTGATGGCTCGGGTGCGTGGGGTGGGGCTGAAGCCGCCACCCCCGCCAGCAGGCACGGCGCACCAGGGAACAGCGCCCGGGTGAGCAAGGCAGGACGCGCACTTGCGGCGAGGGCGAGGCCGTACCGCGCTGGTCAGGATGAGGGCAAAGTGAATGAGAAGCCCCAGCGTTCTTCGCTCTTGAAAAGTACAGCGCATTTTTTCCCGCCTATTTGCTCTGAAAGCCAAGCAGTAGATAGCGAAGGTGGCCGGCCGGGTTAACGTCACCACATTCAGGAAGGAGGGACAACAAATACATCTATACTGCGTGTGAAGAGTACGCACCAACGACTGTACAACAGGCTTACCAGAAACAAGTATAAACTCAAGATTGGCACATACAAACATCATGCTGGCCGTACCACGCTGGTCAGGATGAGGGCAAAGTGAATGAGAAGCCCCAGCGTTCTTCAAAAGCGTCGGACCACGTGAGAAACTGAAGAAGGAAAACAGTATCAGTGCGCAGACGCTTGAGAGTGGCGCGGTGGATGAGGCCTGCTGTGCGGCCGTGCGGGAGGCCGAGGGCCGCGTCCACGCAGGTTAGGAGCATGTCCGAACTGCGGGCCAGAGTCGGGCGGGGGCCAGGAGCTCTCAGACTCCATAGGCGGAGCTCGATGCATCGGTGGGCAGTCGGCTGCGCGTCGGCCTTTCTCGGTCCGTCGTACTGTGGTCCAGCTTCGCGGAACCAGTGGGTGTGCCTAGCGGGGCGGCGGTCGGGGACCGCCACAAGAGGCGGCAGGTACGCGGCCAACACCCATGACAAGAGGATCCGCTTGGCCCGGCGGAGCGCAGGAGCCGGAGCATCCTGGTAGGGTGGCTCCTCCTGGGCCTGCGCGGCGTCCCCGCCGCCCCCCTTGGCGGCTGCTGCGGCCTTGCGTTTGGCTCTCAGCCTCCTCAGCCTCCTCCTGTCGGAGCGCTCCTCAGCCTCCAGTCGTTGGAGCAGGTCCTGCTCCTTCAAGTGCGACAGCATCTCCGCGACCTCTCGCAGCGTGTCCGCACCCTGGAAATTGCGGCCGTTAGGGTCGGCGTCCTGCCTCCCAGCGGCGACGCTGCTGCTCACGGGCTTCGCCGCAGAGGGGCCGGCCGTAGGGGGGCCGTAGCTGGGGCCGTCGGCTGTGCACCCGATCGGGCCCCAGAAGCCCACGGGCGCTTGCGCCCCGAGGTCGTGGTGGAGGTAGTGGTCGTCGGCGCCGTCGTCGCGTGAGTCTCGGAGTCCGACTTCACAGTCAGCTGTGCGTTCAGTCTGGGCGCGGGTGCCTGGTGGGACGGTCAGCGCAGGTGGCCTGCAGGGTACTGCTGCCGTGACGTCAGGGCGCTGTGCTGCTGAGGTACGGTGGCGTGGGTCCACTGCTGGGCCGGGCTGGGGTCCCTGAGTTTGGGCCTTGGTCTGTGCGCCCGTACTGGGGGACGGCATCTCGGCGCGGAGCGCAGGTGCAGGGACGGTCAGACTGGAGCATCTCAGGTGGGCGGTGTCCCCAGACGACAGCGTGACGGTCCAGTGGCCGGGGTGCTCGCTGGACTGCCCCCGTACGATACCTCGGAGGCCGTTGATGGGGTTGTGGACTTGACCCTGGACGATGACCGCTGTGCCCGCGTGGAGCCGTGGTGGGATCCAAGCGGCCAAACGGCAGTTTACGGCTCGGAGGTGACCGATGGTGGCTGGTTGCGGTCCGAGGAAGCGCTCGAAGTGCTCCCGTACAGTCACAGTGCTAGTGCTGGCAGTGCTGGTGCTAACACGCGAGGTTGCGAGGGAGCCAGGACCCAGGGCAGGCGTGTGAGCACGCGAGACGGCCGAGGCTGGCAGAGAGAGAGAGAGAGATAGAGAGAGAGAGAGAAAGAGAGAGAGAGAGAGAGAAGAGAAGAGAAGCGAAGAGAAGAGAGAGAGCGAGAGAGAGAGAGAGGGAGAGTGAGAGAGAGAGGAGAGAGCAGAGAGAGAATAGAGAGAAGAGAGAGAGGAGAGAGAGAGAGAGGCAGAGATAGAGGCAGAGAGAGAGAGGCACAGAGAGAGAGGCAGAGAGAGAGAGAGGCAGAGAGAGAGAGGCAGAGAGAGAGGCAGAGAGAGAGAGAGGCAGGGAAAGAGAGGCAGAGACAGAGAGAGGGCAGAGAGAGAGAGAGACAGAGAGAGCAGAGAGAGAGAGAGAGAGAGGCAGCTCAGTCACACTTAAATCCAGATTCGTCCTCACCGAGTCCCACCACCAAGGGAGCGCCAGCAAGGAGATGCACATATGGGGATCCCCACGCAGTGAATAATTATTGTTGTTATTGTTGTTGTTGCTGTTGTTGTTGTTGTTGTTGCTTGTTGTCGGTGTCCCACCGGCGACCCACCCGCGACCCACCCCGCGACCTACCCCGCGACCCACCCCGCGACCCACCCGCGACCCCCCCCGCGACCCACCCGCGGCCCACCCCGCGACTCACCCGCGACCCACCCGCGGCCCACCCGCGACCCACCCACGACCCACCCCGCGACCCACCACGCGACCCATCTGCGACACATCCGCGACACACTCGCGACCCACCCCGCAGAGCACCCGCGACCCACCCCGCGACCCACCCTCAAGGGAATGGGGTGGATTTCTGCCCTCTACACCTGCGACCCACCCGCGACACAACATCGACCCACCTGAGACCCACCCGCGACCCAACATCGCCCCACCCGCGACCTACCCACATTGACTTCATGAAAAAATCGGCGCCTGCGGCGGTCTCGTTGTGTACTTTGTGAAACTGTGGCGCCTGCGGCGGGCGTCTCCAGAGTCTCGCAAACTGCCGACAACCCCACCACCCCCTCACTTATATCCGCATATGCGGGGTGCTACGGTATATAAGTACATATATATATATATATATGTATATATATAAGTTTATATAAATGCATGCATACATTTATACACATATGAATACAGAACCCCGTTTGCACAATGCGCTTTAGCGAGAGCTGCAAGGGCAGTCCACGGAAGCGCACCACCGCATTCCGAGTGCACCCGGGCGGAACCACTAATCGACGTCCAACAGCAGCCGAATGTATCTGGCGAAACGCGCGTCGACTAGCGAAACCGACGGGGGACTGCACTGGTACACTCGAATGCCGATGCCGAGTGAACCGGTGCAGATTTCCTCAGTTGATTAGTCTCGGTGGGCGCTCTCTCAACGACCGACCTCTTCTTCCTCCTCATCCTCCTCCTGACCCTCCTCAAAGTCAGAACACTTCGAACAAAACCTACCAGGGAGGCTCCTCGTCCTCGTCCTGCTGCCACTGCTTCTCCTCCTCTCCCTCCCCCCTTCCCTCCACCCCCACCTCCTCCTCCTCCTCCTCCTCCTCCTCCTCCTCCTCCTCCTCCTCTTCCTCCAGGACCCTGCTACCTCAGGACCAACGCTTTCCTTCATAGTTGCCATCATTCGCCGCCCCCCGCGGCGGGGAGCCTCGAAGTCACCCTCCACTCTGTTGAGCACCCAGCTGCCGCTGAGATCCACGGGCGCCTGGCCACGAGCAGAGGGAGGGGGGGGGCCCTCCTCCTTCTTTTCCCCACCCTCCTCCTCCTCCCCCTCCCCCTCCTTCCCGCTTCCCCCAAAGAGGACCCCAAGACCCCAACACGGCCCAAATTGGCCCTCGGGCGGCCCAGAAGACCACAAGACAGCCCCAGAACGGCCCTGAACAGCTCGAAGTGTCCCCCAAGTCCGCCCAGAAGGGCTCCGAAGACTGCATCCGAAAGCGGCAGACTGCCCAATGTCGCCCTAAGACGGCCCCAGAGAGCCTCAAAACGACCCAGGAGGCCCCAGGCGGCCCCTAAGAATGCCCAAAGGGCCCGGAAACATCCCCAAGATCGCCCCAAGACAGTCCCGAAGGCCCATCCCAGGGTTCTCCTGGTGGATTGGATTCCCCAACAGCTGGGGGAACACACAGTCACACGCAGTCCACTGGCGTGGCCGCACCTGCGCTCGACTGTTCACGCTATGCAGTCGGGGCAGGGACTCGCCGTAGGCGTATTGATGCTGGCATGAAGGAGCCACACGAGGTAGCTTACCTCAGCTGCGAATGCGTGCCTGCAGTAATCTACGGTGTAATGGGATTAATGGGTGACTCTGCTGTGTAATCATCCAGTCCAAATAGAATTCGCATTGAGGTCTGTATACTAATTCCGTCTACCGGTTACCGATGGCCTCGGATAGGTTCAGCAACTCTGGTGGTCCAATGCCCTCTGCAAGTAGATAGAGCACCACAGCTGGACGAATCGGTAGAGCGTGCTTGACGGAAGGCCGAGGCGGCAACACAGAAGGGAATCGATAGATCTGGATAAGCGCGCAATGAGCCAACTTAGCCGCTGAAACTCACGGCGCGTCCTGCCCGTGAACATTTCCCAGCGCGATGCCGAACTTGAGCCTGCCCGTGAGTATATCGCAATGCATATCTGGGAGGCGGCGTCGCGCCGCTGGTCCCCCAGGGATGTTGAGACAGACGGCCGTGCCACGCTGTATACACGCACCATCTATATCAGGTATGTGGGCTCGACAGATTTGCATTGCTACACGACGCCGTGCAACACGCTGAAAGCAAACAATGCAAGACAGCACGTGTGTTGGGGTATAAACAGCAAGATGCAAGAACGCATAGCCAACAACCCTAATTTACTTACACCCGGAGTGGCGGATAGTCTCCGCGCGACGATGCCTGCGAGTCGCTGCTCATGCAGCGAGTTGCATTCGTGCACGGGCAACATTCCACACGGTAGCAAACATGCGCGCAATGAGCATGTCAGGAAATTCGGCGCGCAAATGCGTGGCGATGGCGGATGGATCGCCCAGGGAAATTACTGGGGCTGATGTGGCTGTTTCCCACACACACCCCTCGCCGAGCAACGCATTACAACAGATGGGGCCTGCCTGTGTCCACGGCTTCAGGGCGCGCACCAAGGACTCGCGCCGGAGGCATGGCTGCAGTGAACCCGTCTCCGCGATGCGTCGCGGTGGGCGCGTGGGCGCGTGCTCCAGGTGCATCTCGCCAGTCTCGACGACGCGCTCATGGAGAAGAGGAAGGTATGACGGCTTTCGGCATGCTTCCAGATTCTCAGCCAAGGCCTCACATGCTCCATCCCTGCAGCTAGACCGTCCGTGCCTCCGGTGCCGAGAGCGAGTCTGGGTTACTTGAGGCACAGGGCGCTCCCCGAATCAGAAACTGACAACAAGTGACCCACTGTCAACCAATCTGACAATCTGGAACATGTGATCCAAAGGCTCCCTATCAGCTTCTTGGTGAGCTCGGTTCTCGCTTCGCGCCACGCGAAGCGCGCTCGCGCGCCCCCCTTGGAGAGAAAGACGGCATTCTGGCCCGGACCGCGAAGCGCGGTTGTCTTTCGCGCCCCTCTGCCTGGGTGACCTAGGGCTTCGATCCGACCCGCTCGAACTGGCGGGCTGGATCCAAACAACTAGAGAAAAAGGCCACATCCAACCCAGCCCTTCGGATTGTGGGACCGAGGTACCTCCCGACAAGGCGGAGACGTGCGATTATCTTCGCGCCCTGGTGCCCTCTTGCGGCCACCTTGGAGATTGGTACTTGGTGGCCGTTCTGGCTAGACCGCGACGAGCGAAGCGCAGCAATCTTCGCGCCCTCGCTGGCGACCTCGAAACCTCCGCGCGTGGAGGCGTCCGGGGGTCTGAAGTAGATGGACCTCGAGAAAAGTCAAGGAGGGGGAAAAAATGGCAGAACCGCTCAAAATCTTGCCCCAGACCACTCATGGGGACCATCTGGTTCAAGTGTTCACCCCGGATCGGTGTTGACAGTTCCGGGCCCGAACACGGCCCCCAGGGTCCGAAAAAGGCAAAACAGCTTCTCGAACCCAGCACCTCGAACCTCGCCCGCCCTTCCTGATGGCCAGAACCAGTGCTGGGTGGGCTCGGGCTTCTACTGACCTGGGCCAATGCTAACCTGGGTCAATCAGGCTTCGCATGATTCTGCAGGATCCTGCAGGATCCTGTGCCCGAGCCAAGGTCAGTGCAACCATGGACCATGGCTCTGCAGGATCCTGCAAGAGCCGGTGCTCTGGCTAGCCCCCGTTTGCAAAGATCCCCGTCTCTGGCAGTTCGATGGGCCATCTCAGACCCCCAGCAGGAGAGCCCAGAAACGAATCGATAAGTCAGATCGGCGATCGAAACGAATCGGATCCGCAGGAATCGGCAGCAAAGTAGGGAGAAGCCGAATCGGCGGCACTCGGCAAAATAATATGGCCTCCAGTGAAAAGCCGGAATCCACATCGGAATCCAAAGTCGAATCGAAATCGAATCGAACTCGAAGTCGTAGAAATCAAAATGGGCCCTGCCCCAGCCCGCACCAACTCCACGGCACACCCGAGGGTGGTGGCGGCCTCGTCCCCGGCCGAGGAGGTCGCCGCGGTGCTGCCGCTCTCCGATGCGCGCGGTGAGCTGGCGGGAAGCTCCTGGCGCTCAGGGCTCTGCAATACACAAGCAGGATCGAGACAAAATCGGATCAATATCAATCGGAAATCTCTGAGAATCTGCGGGTTTGGAGGATGCATCGGGCGCCGCGGCAATTTCAGCGTGTTCTGGAAAGCTCTGAGGGCGTGCTGGAACGCTCTGGAACGGATGTATCTCGATTATAGGCCCGCCAGAGCCCAGGAGGGATAGAGGACGAAGCACAAAGAGGAAGGAGGACACGTTGTAGGTTGGCGGCCGCGAGAGATCAAGCAACGTGCATGCAGCGGCGGGACGCGCCGGGGCAAATTGAGCGAAGGGGCGGAAAGCGCAGAAAAACAAGGAACACGAGAGAAAAAAAGGACGAGGATCTTGGGCGAACTACGTATCCGTATCCGTGGCCTCGCGGGCCAGGCAACTGTGCTGCGACCCCACGGGTACGGGGTGATTATTTTTCGGGTGCCTCGCGAGAAACGTATCTGTACGACCGCGCATCCGCGGGATACGGGATACGGATACGTTCGCCCAAACACGTTCGCCGGATACCCGCCAGGGCCCGGACACGGATGCGTCCGTCGATCGTGAGAGGAGGAGGAGAGAAAGTAGAAGAGGCGTTCGCTGTCTTGGGGCTTGGTCCGTTCCTGGCTGAAAAACTCAGAGAGAGGCCCAGAGCCGGATTCCCAAAGATGGTGAAAGTAAATACTCCCCAAGATGTGGATACAAGAGGCTTCACATGTATCGGCAACATGGGCGTTTCTTGCAGAATCGCCACACAGAGCGCCTCGCTCTCTCAATGTGGCAAATTTGCCGCACGCACCCATATATAGATCCCCTCCGACTCACCTGCCTCCTTCTCCTCCTCTTCCTCCTCCTCATCCTTACCTATACGACCACCCTGCGGGTGATACGGAGGTTGTGGGGGGGGGAGGGGGGGGCTCATGAGGACAACTGTGGTGAATGTGGTGCTGATGGCCGATGATGGTGTGGATGACGTGGCGGAGTTTGTTTTGTTTTTTCGCTTGGGCGTTTTGTGTCATTCGGTTTGCCGCTGCGCGACGCGGCACTCACCCCACGACGATCCAGTCGACGATGCGTGCACTGGCAGGGCCTGGTGCGTGCGTCCGGACCTCTCCTATCCTGCCTTGGGAGTCACGCTGGCAGTGCCTGGCGTTGACTGTCGATCTCAGTATCGATCCAACATTCGGTCTCACATTCGGTCTCACTATCGATTTCACTTTCGGTGTCACTATCAATTTCACGATCGATCTAACTATCGATCTCACGACAGGACAACGGCGGGCGACCGACAGGACAATGCGGGCTACCGCTTGACACGCGCCGGCGGGGGGAACATATTGGCGAACCACCAGCGACACACAGGACAACGGCGGGGAACCAACGGGACAATGCGGGCCACCGCTTGACACGCGCCGGCGGGGGAAACATTTATGTTGGCGAACCACTAGCGACAGACAGGACAAAGGCGGGCAACCGACGGGTCAATGCGGGCCACCGCTTGACAAGCGCCGGCGGGGGAAACAGTTATGTTGGCGAGCCACTAGCGACAGACAGGACAACGGCGGGCGACCGACAGGACAATGCGGGATACCACTTGACACACGCCGGCGGGGGAAACAATTATGTTGGCGAACCACTAGCGACAGACAGGACAAAGGCGGGCAACCGACGGGTCAATGCGGGCCACCGCTTGACAAGCGCCGGCGGGGGAAACAGTTATGTTGGCGAACCACCAGCGACCACAGGACAACGGCGGGCAACCAACGGGACAATGCGGGCCACCGCTTGACACGCGCCGGCGGGGGAAACATTTATGTTTGATGCGGGCCACCGCTTGACAACGGCGGGGGAAACAGTTATGTTGGCGAACCACCAGCGACACACAGGACAACGGCGGGGAACCAACGGGACAATGCGGGCCACCGCTTGACACGCGCCGGCGGGGGAAACATTTATGTTGGCAAACCACTAGCGACAAACAGGACAACGGCGGGCAACCGACGGGACAATGCGGGCCACCGCTTGACACGCGCCGGCGGGGGAAACATTCATGTTGGCGAACCACTAGCGACAGACAGGACAACGGCGGGCAACCGACGGGACAATGCGGGCCACCGCTTGACGCGCGCCGGCGGGGGAAACATTTATGTTGGCAAACCACCAGCGACAGCAGAATGAATTCCTCTCGCCCGCGCACGCAGCTTCGCCTCGCCCGCACGCACGACACGAGCACGAAACCGAAACCGATGTCCTTGTGGGGGGCTCTCCGTTCCACTTCGATCTCACCCCCAAACCACCGATCCTCCTATATTCCTCCTCCTCCTCCTCATCCTCCTCCTCCTCCTCCTCCTCCTCCTCCCTCCACCTGCTTCGCCTCATCCCTGCAATGACACAACCAGAACCAAGTGAAAGAGAACATGATGTGTGTGAGGAGCGAATGAAAACATAATGTATACGAATGAGCGCGAATGAGCGATGAGGGCGTGGGGGCTATGCAAGGCCGAAATGGAGGCAGCAAACAAGAACTCCGAGGAGAAACGAAGGGCGCGAGAGCTCCTTTCAGGATTAGCCATGCGTCCTGTTCGAGCTGAGGAGCGAAGTCAGACAGAGCTGGGCATCGGGATCACGCTCCTGGGCGACTTCTCATACTCAAACATGTGCCCGAGGTAAGAGGTGAAAAGCGGGCGCCCACAAGGCCCAGTGATCTCTGACCGGCTCGGCAATCACAAACCTACGTCCAACCCTCTCGGAGCCTCCGCAGCTGCCCCCCCACCCGTCTCGCCTGCGCTTTCTGTGGCGCTGCAAAGGTGGGGCCCGCCAGAGGCGTCAGCGCAGGCGGCGCCAGCGGGGCGGGCGGGCTGAGATGCGGCACGGGGGCGGCTGCCTGCCCTGGGCTCCGAAACGCGAACATCCACGAGCGTTCCAAACCAAGCACGCTCGTCGCGCGCACTGCCGCACACACGAAAGCGTGCGCGCGCATCTTCCTGGGGTCGCGCGACTGCCGCGAGGAGATTCGGAAACAGGCGAGTCACATTGCAATAACTGACTAGAAGCCTCACAAAAAGGGATCTGGGCACATGGGGTCGGAGAATCGCGGCGCATCGCCGATGCATCACCGATGCGTCGGCTATCATCGGCGATGCATCGGCGATGCATCAGCGACGTCGGCGATGCATCGGTCCGGTGACGTCTGCGTGGAGGAAATCGGGCTCCGCAACGAGCCCCATCGGCGATGCATCGGCGACGTCGGCGATGCACTGGCGACGTCGGCGAGGATACAAGTGGGCTCCGCATCGAGCCGCATCGGCGATGCATCGGCGATGCGGGACGATCCCCCGACCCCATATACAGTCGGGGTTGATTGGAGAGGAGACGTGAACAAAAACACGAGACCCTTGCGAGGGCCACATTGCCGTAGAACTGACGGAAGCATGGGTCGCGAACCACAAGACGTGAGGGCACCCTTGATGTGGCAAACTCGAAGCACTACTCGGCAGCGACTGCGCCCCGATCTCATCCAGGAGGCCCGGGGGAAGCTCGCATCCGGCCCCTCAGATCCCCGTGGGAGCACGCGCGCAGACCCCCAAGACGGCCCACGAGGAGTCCAATCAACTCCCGAGGGAAATCCGGAGAGACTCCGAGAGGCATCCAGGAGGCCTCTGGCCTTTCTGCTCGCCCTCTCCTCCTCCTCTTCCTCCTCCTCCTCCTCCTCCTCCTCCTCCTCCTACGAGTCATCCTCAAGAGCCCAGACGCCAAGAACCCAGACGCCAAGCGATCAGGGCTGAATTACAGGCCGCCCCCAGGAAACTGTTCTGGAGCTTCCCAGCCACGTTCCTGAGACCAGAATCCTATATGACCGCGGAACTCGGAAGTTCAGGTCGTGAAGTACTGGGAGATCTGACAGACGAGCCAACACTAGCACCAGGCCGCTCGAGATACGCCAGGCTCCTGCATACCATAACCACGGAGGCCACCTTCTCGAATACCTGGTAGGGCTCCTTGGCTGAGCGGCAACACACACTGTTACGATCCAGGAATGCAGCCAGCGCTGAGACCGAGCTCCATGGCCTCGTGGCGGCAGGGCAGAACCATCCACATCCTCCATCGGGTCCCTCGGGCAGTGGTCGGCGATCGCGCCGGAACCACTGGCCGACACAGCTTGGCTGCGGCGAGGGCACCACTCCGAGCCGGGCGTGGTCGGCGATGAGGCGAGAGCACGGTGGACAGCACTAAGGCAAGAACCGCCAGGCGACGGGGCGGGTGAACGGCAGGCGCCGAGGCGAGAGCAACACTGCAAGCTGGGAGCGGAACCGACTGTCGGGTGAGAACGCTGCCCCGAGCATGTTTCTGTGCTCTGAGCCGCCGCGAGCCTGCTCGGGCGAGGTCTCCGTGAGTAGGCCGACGTCGAGATGCAAGCCTGGCCGCTCACTCAGTCGGGGCACATGCCTCGATGCCTTCGTCATACGCCTTCTTGAGATTTTCCAAGTGGAAATCGAGGAATGCCTTAATCGCATCTGCGAGATGGTTCGGAGGGCTGAACTGCGTCCTCACAGTGGCAATTGCGGCATCGGCGTGATCAAGGATGTGCTTCATCGCAGCGGGCCATAATCTTAGGATGTCAACGCCATGGTTGATCAATTCAGGAAGCGGAGCTGTATGCCCATGGAGTTTAGCACATTGTTTGTAGTTGAGTTCACGGTCTCCCGCGTACGGCCGTTGCATCTTGTTCGCATATTTCCCTGCAAATGCTTTGAGCTCTTCCTCGGTGCCGCAAGTTCCCAGATGCGCTGCTTTTGTGACGTCGTCGTAATTAAACGCTATGCCCCCGACAGCATTCAGAACATTCGTCGAGGGGTCAAACTTTCCCTGTGCATCCGGTTGTATCCGATCGTGCGTAAGTGCTCCGCCAACTGCCATGTCGATGCCAGTTGCATGAAGAGGAGAGAAGAAAACATTGTGGTAGTTCGACGTGGTGTAACCCATGCCGCTCATTCCATCGTTCTCCGCGATGAGTGACATGAAGGCGCTGAGCTGGGCTATGTCAACCTTTGTCGACGTACTGTTCATAACAAGCCGGGTGTAATGCTTTGCGCCATCCACGTCAGCCTGCAGTGGCCTCTTGCTGGCGGGGCAGGCACCGTTCAATGTCCGGAACGGGCCATTGGCATAAGCAAAGGCCATTTCTGCCATGACGTCGTCGGGGTTGGTATCGTAGTACTTCTGAACATCTGCAGCGAACTCATCGCTCTTACGCCAAGCCTCTGGGCACCATCTCGACGTGTCTCCAAACCTGGCGAGTTTCTCGGAATCGATTGAGAAGTGGGTCCACATGTTCTTGCAGAGAACCCGAGTGTCACGATTAATGGACTTAGCCATTTTCGCTGCCAACTTTACCGGAATATCGGCATCATCGACAGCACTCAGCCCCTTCCGAATGCCAGCAAGGACTAAGTCTCCCAAGCAGGCGTTGCATGCCTCCCAGCCAAGTGTCGGGTCGGTCATGTCGTGCAAGTCCTTGCCTTCAGCAACGCCCATGATCTGCGCGAAGCCAGAGCCTTCCTCGACTGTGGAGAGAAAGGCTTCCCGAGAATCGAACTTGTCGAACGACACCAGCAGGGCGCTCCACTCTGCAGGCGTGTCCTGCGGCGACAAAAGCCGCGTCTTTGCAACTGGCGCCCCGAGCGCTGTGCCCAAAGACGATGCGTAGGCGTCGTGCAAATCGAGCCGAGGTTTGATCACCAGGTTGCAATCCCGGGCTGCAAGCGTTAAGAAATAGACACCACCCATGTTGCCAGAATCGCTTTTCTTCGCATCGGCGGCCGTGGCTAGGTCGGTAGAAACCAGCGTGTCGACGTCGCAGGATTTCTTCGAGAAGTCGAAAGAAAACAACCAATTATTCGACAAAGAGCTATTCCCCACATCGCCTAAGTCCTTGACACGTGCAGCGTCAGCAAGACCGTAAACTGCGAGCAACGCTGCCACGCCAGCAGTGGCTGCCATGATCAATCCAGGAAGACTGCGGACGATCAACGGATGGAGTTTGGCACAAACAGCGGGGGACAGTGTGACTGTCGTTGGATTATGACTTGGACCAAAGAGGTCACTCACGGTGGTCCGAGCAAGGAGCGCGAACGGCGAGGCCGAACGATGGGGACCGCGCGCCCCCTCCAAGGAACGGCCGCCGCTCAGGCGGAGCGCACATCATTCGAACGGCGACACGGATAGAACAGCTGGGCGACGGGACCACGAGGAGGATGTCATTGAGGCTTCGGGTTGCGCACGGACAGCCCCCCAGGCAGTCCTGGCTGGCCTCGACAGGCCCCCCTAGTAGTCCTAGCTGGCCTCAAGAAGTCTCCAGTAGTCCAGAACGGTTTTAACACTCCGGGCGCCGCCTACAGCGGCGACTCTGAGGCGCTCTGCACCACAGAGGTGGGTGTTGAGACCGCCCTGGAATAATCGGGGGGCCTTCTGAAGCCAGCTGGGATTGACTGGTGGGGGTGCCTGTTGAGGCCAGCCGGGACTGCCTGAGGGGGCTGTCTGCTCGAAACCCGAAGTCTTACCCAGAGGCCTCCCGGATGGGGTCGGAGTAGATAGGGTCGGAGGATCGCCCCGCATCGTCGATGCATCGGCGACGTCGGCGGTGCATCGGCGACGTCGGCGCGGAGATAGTCGTGCTCAACATCGAGCCGCATCGCCGATGCATCGGCGATGCGTCACGATCTTCTGACCCCTCCCAATCCGACCGCAACTAGAAGGCCTGCATCGATCACCAGGGGTGGGGCATGGGTACGTGCGTCTGGCGACAAACATTCGCGACAAAAAGAAATGCGAACACGGAATGCGAACACTCTCGATTTCGGTCGCCCCCCGCTTTCGCTCGACTCCCGCCGTCGCTCGCATCCCGCTGTCGCTGGCCTCCCGCTTTCGTTCGCCCACCGCTTTCATTCGCGTCCGACATTCTGGTTGTCGGTAGCGTGAGCTTCTATGTTCCCTGGGCATCCGAGCCGATCGGTATTAGATGGTTGCCGAACTCAAAGAAACATATCTAGTATCATCAGCGTCGGCGGCGGCGGCGGCGGCGGCGGTGGCGGTAGCGGCAGCGGCTGCGGCGGCGGCGGCGGCGGCTGCGGCGGCGGCGGCGGCGTGGCGGCGGCGTGGCGGCGGCGGCGTCGGGCGGCGGCAGCGGCGCCGGCGGCGGCGGCGGCGGCGGCGGTGGCGGATTGGCCCCCAGTAGCTACCCATCCAAAGACGACTGCTGAATATGCTGAGGCTCGGGCCGGACTCGGGTGCTACGTATGTGTTGGGAGGACGGGTGGGAGTGAGCGAGACGGCTTGCGGGCGGGGAGGGGGTCTTGACCCCTCCCCCTACCCCCTCCCCCAGACCTGGAGGGGGGGGGGTCGCGAGTCGTCGGGGCGTCCAAAACGGCCTCGGCGAAGAAACCAACATCATTGATTTTGCTATGGTTTGGGCCCCATTTTGGCCTTCTGAGGGGGCGACTGTAATCCGTAACCCCCACTTCTTTGATCGATCTCCTCCGAGATGGCCCCAAGAGCGCTCCCAAGGCTCCCAAGGGTGCCCCAAGAGGGCCCCAAGGGGTGGCCAGGAGGCCCCAAGAGGCCCCCAAGAGGCCCCAAGGATGCCCCCAAGAGGCTCCCAAGAGACCTCCAAGAGACCTCCAAGAGGCCCCCAGAGGCACCCCAGAGGCACCCAAGACGCTCCAAGAGGCCTCGGCGACAATGCCAAAATAGTTGATTTTACCAAGGTTGTGGCCACATGTTCGCCTCCTGGGGGGGGGGCACTGCTTCAGATGACTCCAGGAGCGCCTAGGACAGCCAAAGATGATCTCCAAGATGGCTCGAGAGATCCCAAGATGCCTCAAGATG